GGGGCCACCAACTCTGCTTTGGTGATACCTGCAAGCGCCAGTGGGTGACTCGACCGTTCGTGCAGCCCGTGTGTGTTACACGGCCGCTGAACACACGCTTCGCCGGGTGTAAGGCCACCCAATGGCGACCGGTCGTCGTTCTGCCAGGTGCCAACGCAAGGACCGGTGCTCGAAGCTGAGAAGCCGCAGAGAAGCTGGTCAGATGAGGGAGGTCGTGATGGTGCTGGAACCGTGTCCGGTCGGTTCAACAAAAGGAAACCGTTTCTGTCACCCTCTTCTGTGGGGGAAAGACTGATAGGTCTCCGAGACCTGTCATCTGCCCAACGGATCACGTGGGTGACGATACCGAGACTTGATCCTCTACATGTTGGCAGCTTTCTGGGTTCACCGTGTTCCCAGAGCGTGCAAACTCTTTCGGTCAAACCCTTCCAAAAGGTCTCCTACCGTCGCCGATCGGGGGTTTAAGCATACAGAGGCTTACAAAGGGCTCATGGATTACCACAGCCCCGTGAGGTCTCCAAAATCATCCTTGACTCTTAGTGAGTTCACAGAGCAAATGTCAAACGCATCGCGATCTCCAAAATCCATCTCAAATCCCCACTCAACGTCGGACCCAAAACATCGGCTTCAGCCCCGTGACAACCCTATCCAACCCTTAGCTACATCTTCCACCAAGAAAATCCACAGGGAGAAAAACACACTTCACGACCCGGCACCAGTCACCTTGGTCAGCGCCAGAAGCGCATAGAGCCGGTCACCCCCGCCTATGCCCTTCTTTTTGAAAAGCTTGTAGAGCTGCTCCCAGTTGTCCACCTAATGTTGACTTCGCAAATGGACCACAAATGCTATTATGTTCTGGACTGTGAGTTTCAGCTGCTTCCAAACCTTTCATTTTCCTTTCAGTTTCCTTTCCTTTCATGTTCCTTTCATTTCGTTTTCTGTTTATGTCCTTTTCTTTCCTTCATGTTCCTTTTATTTCAACTTCAAATCTCAAGATTTTTCTGGATTGTCTCTTGATTTAGTTTTGTTTAGGTTCAGAACTTGATCAAGGGGACGGGGGGGGTTATTATTAGGAGGTGGACATTACCAGGCTCGGATGGTTTTTGTCCTAACGGAAAAAGCGAAGCGAAGGATTTCTCACAGAATGCAGTTCGGTCTATTGGGGATCGACAAACGACAATCATTTCTACGGGTAAATCGGATGGTTGATTCCCCCAAAACGTCTTTGGGTCAGCTGTTTTATCAACGCCCATTTCATGGGCAGCAGAGCGCTCAAACAGCTCCAAAACGGATGAAAACACGGGAACATCTATTTCGGACATAGAGTTCTTGTGAGTGGTGTTATGCCTAAATGAAAAGTCGGCCTTAAGACTTCAGACACTGCTGACGACACTCCCACTACAGTAGTGTGCCACACTTGGTGTTCACGTATGACCAGCTGTTCCCTCCTCCAGGCCAGACTGAAAACGCGTTCAGCGGGACCTCGTGTCAGCAGGGATTCACCCTCACAGCACCTGGTCCACTGTGGGTGCTCTTCCTAGGACCCCCCCTTGTCCCGTCGACCGCCGACGTGCGGTCGGACTAGCGGACTAGACCGGCTCTGACGAAGAAGAAATGGATCGTTGATTCACTCAGGCGGCACTCAGTGGACGAGTGACTCTGTGGACGACCTGACTGGTGAGATCCATCTATATACATAGCACATCATAGCACCCTATTGACAGTGTGGACAGTTTCGCATCTTTCTGAATGGTATTCAAGGACCGGCCGCCCCCACCCTGGCCTTCGCTTCCAGCCGCGAGCCATTTTCAAAGGTGTTGATGTCAACGTCCTGCGACCCCGGTGCTGACAGACAGAACGACCCAAGGGATCAAACACATGGGTCTGAACAAGAACAAGCCTTGCAAAATCTTGCAAACTCAGATACACACCCAGATCAATCGTTGAATGGAGCATGCACTTCAGGCACTAATTGTCTCTTGGATGTGCACTAGCATACTGAACCCCCCAGCCAGAGCCCTTAAAAGATGAAAATGAAACGACCAAACTCTCTCTTGCACAGACACCAAGACACCGCAAAGACACCGGTCCTCCAAATCAAAAATGATGCGGACGTCCCCCAACACCCACGCGCGACAGCGGACATCCCCGGCATTTACAGGTCTCTCCTGTGGGTGGTATCTGGAAAAGATCTCCGCCACCAGGTATCCTGGTCATGTCAACAGGCGGGACTGTGACCGAAGCGTTGCTGTGACCGAAGCGTTGCTGTGACCGAAGCGTTGCTGTGAGGGGCGGGTCATTGGCACAAGAGACAGACCCAGTAGGAGGAAGGTCCTGTCATGATGCCATGTCACCTTCCTCGGAGTTTCTCCTTGAAACCAACTTGGATCGCTTTTCTTCAGGTTTGGCTTTCGTTCCAGTGGAAAAAGTAGCTTCAACGCATGACTCAATGACTGGTCCGAGAGTTTCGGCCAAGTATCAAGCTGGAGAAAAGGGAAAAGCCAAATAGGCTTGAATCAAGGCCGACTGAACCGACTGAAGGCTTTCCTGCCCAGCGCATCGGAGCCGACTAAGGAGTTCCTCAAATTCCTCATTATCTTGGATGCTTGGATACACTTGGGTCCGCATTTGGTGAACAGGTGACCTTTACTGGAGCATCAAAACAGTAAAAAACAATGCCTGGCAAACATCCATGTATTCCTGGCGCACCCAAACGTGGGCACCGACACCAAACGTGGCGGCGTGGCCATTGCTAAAGTCCCTCTTTGGGTTCTTGATGCCTCGAGGGAACGGACGCGGAGACGAAACGAGGCACGACAACACATCAGTGCGCCCCAACGACAACACATCACCCCCAAACAAAAACCAAGGACGGATCAAAGCTACACGAAAAAACACCAGCATCCACAGCTCATCCAAACCAAGTTTCAAGTCATTTCTCAAAGTGTGTCTGTGTGTCTTTCCCAAAACTGGAAGACCCCCGGCTTCGGATACCCCATCGGTCTTCTTGGTCCCCGGAAATCCCCCAAAAACGAGGCTAAACGGTCGACGGTCATGCTCCGAAAAAGGGGAGGAAAAAAGAATCTTCACCAGTCTACAGGGCACGCACGAAGAATATAAAGTAATCCATCAGACTAGCGCGACGAGGCGTCTCTGTATCCGGTATATCTGTTAGACCGGTGTAGAAACAAAAGAGCCGGAAAAAGAGGAACTGATAAATGCAACAGTTTTCAGATGGTGTTCCATGGTTGTCCTAACCCAGTGCTCTGAAGAGGTTCCATGTGGGAGACCCTCCAGGGCAAAAGGATTTCTGCCCGAGAGGCTAAAGGACAAATCCAAGGCTTGAAGCCACTTGATGATCTCGCGCGGCAGCGGCGCAGACCTGCTCCGCGCGGTAGCTCGACGGCCGCAGAAGGCGGAAGCCCGCGTGGTTGGGTAGACTGGTCTATGTTCCATCTTCTAGGAGGTAAAGACACCTGGGAGGTCTCCCTATTACAAAAATTACACACCCAAATGTTCATTTATGGAATATGAAGGAAAAAAAGAGTCTGATCCGAAAGAATCGGTGCGACAGTAGAGGGAAAGCCAGTAAAACTCCGACTTTTGCTACGAAAGCAGAGGATCTGGCCATGTACGGCGGCAAGGCCTTTCACCCAACAAACCAGACCAAGGCCCACGAGATCAGCGCAAAGTCATCCATGTGATGACATGTGGCTGGTCTTCTGTAGAAAACCCCAAAAACAAAGTGTTCCACTTTAACCATCCGACCGCTTAAGCAGGGTACATGGACACCCAAATAGATAGAAAATGTAGTAAGATCCCCACGAAAAATGTATTGGACACCCTTTCTATCTGTTTGGGGATCACTATACATGGACCGCAACCTTGCTGAACAGTTTTGCTTGGACAAATCCTGAGGCTTTCAACTGCCTGAAAGAAGATACTCCATGCGGACTCCCATGTCTGAGTGCCCTGCGCCATTGAAGCCGCGTGGCGTGGCGCTTGGAACACGTGTATGTTCGTTGGGATGTTGTTTTGCTTGGTGAATGACGAGCTGTTCAGGGCACAACAGATGTATAGTTGGTGTTCTCATGTGCCCAAATGCCAGTGATTTTGACTAGACTGACTGGTATGTCATTGGCTGGGACACTAGGAAGATCCACTGACTGCGGTCGTGCACAAGTCTTGGAGCTGAGCAACACATCAACAAAACTGCCCTGTCCTTCTTTCTTTTCGATGGTCAAAGGGTTTTACGTTCAGTAGCAAACTTGTAGCAGGTATAGTTTTCTTTCTATACCCTGATCTGGAATCTGAGCAAAATAAAACCAAGAAACCTAACCACAAGAAATGACGTGTTCCAATACACCAACCACACCATCGACATGTGCAACATCGGGTCGGCGGGGACCGCCACCCATTGGTCACTCACCCTGGGCCGATGGGTCCAAATCACCAGAAGGAAGACATGGGAAGGCATCTGAGTTGATTGGAAAATGGGACAAATGTCCAGATGCAACTATATGAGATGTTGCTACTTCTGTTTGATGCTCTATGTCCGAAGGCTGCAATCATTGTATAGAAAGATCTTGCCACCTCATGAAACCAGCTTTGCACGAAAGATCGCAGCAAGGCCAATGTTTGATCCCTGATGCCGCGCGAATCAGCCCATGCCCAAGAGCAGGATTCAGGGCCAGTGGCAGGGAGCAATTCTGCTCATCAAAACGAGCTGCCCGGCAAAGGTCGGCCACCAAAAACACGAACTTTGGCTAGTCATTAACATGGAAGTGGAGTTCACTACCTGTTTGTAGAGAAAAATTGTCTTTGAGGGGGTGCTATATATATTTTTTTTTCCACTTCTATGATTCTTTCAGGGAGTGTCACTTCCACTAGTCTGTATCCACGGGCGAGACAACATGTCCTTTCCATCCGGACAGGTGGCACCGTGCCCTTCCACATCCGGTGTAGGAGTTGGCGAACTGCGTCTAACATTCTGTCCTGATGCGCCGAGTCTAAGTGTTCACAGTGCAAGGGATGTTTTCTTGGCACGCCTGTGATACACCTGCACTACACCGAATTCATTCTGCACATTGTCTATCTCTGGTGCCTTGGTCTTGGACCGTTCATGCACCACATCGAATTCATCATATTGCTCTTTCTTTACTGCTGTTGGTACCTGCGCCTTGGGCTTTTGGGAGGCCACAGCCTCAGGCTCAGGCTGCAGTATCCTGGGAGGTGCCTTTCGAACCTTGGGAGGCGTCATCTCCAGGTGCTTGGCTCCATCAGAATCAGATAAGAACTCCATGACTGCGTGCAAGCAAAGCAGAGAGGCATCTGTGAGCGAGCCACAGTTCTCCTTCTCTGCCGGGAAACCGAGAAAATCCGGGGCCGAGTGCTTTGGAGTGGTTTGGGGGGCCAATGCTTCGCGGCGATTTATCACCACAGCTGGTTGGGACACCTTCCAACAAGTTGGCACTTCTAGGCTGAGGTCGCGCGCTTGACAGTTGGCACTTCCAATCATAGTGGCGCTGAGTCTTTTATTCTACTGTATATTGTAAAAATTCCGTAGAGTGAGTCAAAGGCTTTCTCTCAGTCGGAGGAACTCTAAGCCTCTCTAGACAGATATGTCCCTCTAGTGACGGATGGCCTTTTCTAGACATGAAAGCTACAAGCTCAAGAAGGCCTTCTCTGTACCTTCAACGACCTACCCGACGTCCCAGTTGAAGAAAACATTCCTATAGAATATGTCTTGCCGGCTCTATCATCTTAGCTGAAAGTCCAGATCTGGGACTACCCAGACCCCTGTGATCACCTGGTAGACAAGCCCTGCATTGTCTGTCCTGGAACACAGTGAAGGTCCGCAAGATGTCAAGCAAAGCCTAGCCAGCAGAGCTGATCGAGTCGGGTTTGACACCAAGTATCACCTCACCTGATCCGCATCCAGACCTTCCCCTGCACGTTCTCTCTGAGGTCCATGCCGAGTGTCGACCCGGCATGTTCAGAGTCAGAACCCACCAATGAACCACCGAACTTGTCCCACCGCAGTCGACCCGGCCTGTGTTGATCCCAAGTGCTCTTTCAGAGTGAGCTTCGCGACGGGATCGCCCCGTGCCAGCCAGGCCATCAAGAGGCTGCCCATGGCGAAGTTGAGATGCACCTGGCGCGAGCTGCCCAGGTGTTCTGCTGTTCTGTACGTGGAACGACTGAGCAACAATCGATCCTCAAGTATATATATTGACCCCCGAAAAGACAGGGAATTGCCATCTATGTTGTATGTTTAAAGCCGGTTCTATCTGCTCGGAAACCTTTGGACACCCAACAATGCAAAGGAAACCTCGAAATGTTCCAAAACTATAAGGCTTTCTTCTTTACAGACCAGCCTCGACATCCAACGAATCCGACTCAGTCTCCAGCTGGTCCTGACCGAGGTTAGAACAAAAACACAACGTAGAACCCAAATGATGCATAAGCTCTTTGTGAACAAGCTCTTGATTTCATAAGCTCAAAGAGGATCCAAGCAAGCCACTGAGCGAAAACGCTGGCGAACCCATGCGGCCTATGCTGCTTGAAAAGATGTCATCAATCAACCACTGACATGGCCTTGTACCATGCCAAAGATTGTGCCAAAGCGGAGGCAAAGACAGTGTCGACCAAAGGCTCTGGAGAAAGCACAAAGAAGCCAGCCTTGGCTGAGGGATATCTCACTATGGGGCCCGAAGGTGTTAGGTTGTGTCTATTTCTTTTCTTCTGAGTTCCTTTTCAGGGTGTCCCTTGGTTTCCCCTCTCAAGTCCCCAAAACATCTTTGAAATGCGCTCTGCAAAATACAAGCCTGGCAGCCACAGGGACAGCGCCCAGCTCCTGGATATGGCGGACCCGGCGGACCCCTGAAACCCTGAGAAAGACCCAGCAAAACATAGCGAAACCATCCAAATGGACGATTGCGACTGTCCCTTCCCATGAATCTTCTGGTTATATAACTCGAACCTCTGGCCCTTCTGACCATCTGACGCTGGTGATCCGATGGATGAGGTCCAGGTCGCTAAGAAAAAGACCCAGCTGTGGCTGTCGCTGGGATTTTCCGATCTTCCTTCAATGCCCGGCTGAAAGGTCCTCCGACTCCATGTGGAAAACAACAGGCACTGACGGTGCGTGTTGATCGGTGACTTGGGCCGGTGTAGGGTCCGAGGGGTCCTGCGAAAGCGGTCCGATCATGACCGATGACCCTTTTTTCATCTTCGTTCATTGCCTGGATTGAAACCCTGTCACAACCGGAAACAAATACAGTATATGGATGTATATGGTTGATCCAATATGGCGCCAGCGACTGAGATCCTTTCGCATAGAGAAGTGGCTGGGACTGGGGAAAACATCCAATTGCTTTTGGTTGACACTGGGGGCTTCCCCAGGCACAACTGAAATCTAAGAAGCTATTGGTGTGCTCATCAAATCCTCGAATCCAACACAGATGTGTCTTCCAAGGACCGGAGTCCGAACCAGGACGACGGACCGGTGGTTCAGTGGTTCACCAATCGGAGCTGAAACCCAACAAAACACGGCCCCAAACACGTCAACCCAATCAGAGAGCAGAAATCCTCCAAAAAAAATGGAAGATACACAGTTACGGTTATTATCTGTTACTGTACCTTTTCCAAGGCTTATACCTATCTCCTCCGCCACCCCTTCTTTCTCCATCTCTCCGCCCTCACGCCACGGCCGCTCCCGTTTCCTGGCACACGGATGACGTCCCTCGGCCAGCCACATGCGCCAAGAGCCCCAGGAGGGTGCGCGTGGAGGCGCTGCTAGCGGCGCCTGCCACGACTGGGAGGCTCTAGGGAGGGGTGGTTGGATGGAAAAATAGACCAGTTTGTGGACCGTGGATGTCTGGTCAACATAAGTTTTGGCTCCTGTATACACCAGAAAATACTTTGAGGACCTTTGAGAGAAGTCATGAAGTGCTCAGAACGGTCTGCTGGGGCTTGTTTACCCCTCATCCATGAAAGTTTGAATGAGGTATAAACTGCAGGCCTTGATGTCCTTCCCCTTTCTGAACCAAACACGGAAGGCTGCCAATAGTCAAGAGCGAGAAAAATCAGGCATGCAAAACGATCAACTCAACTATATAACATACTAGTAACTAAGCTAAACTAAAAGCTAAACATATCCACCGAGCTTTTCCAACCGTCAGGGTGATAGAAGGAAGCCGTAATGTGGATCAACATCCTCCTTCAACAAAGGGTTGCCTTGCCTTTGCAAGGGTCCAAGCCTGCAGGAAAACGATACATCTGCACGCCCTGCATGGGCAGCTGGCTATCCACACCGCATCTTTGAACAGCACCCAACCCCAAAACGAGCCCGCTGGTCACCCACCCAATCTTTGGCGCCTTTCTCATCGCAAAGCTTGGCCACCAAGAACAGTAACATCTCCAAGTTGAACTGAGAAGACTCGATGCAAAGTAGGACTTCAGCTGCACATCTTTTGTGAAAAAAACACACACGTTACGACCTGTTCACGGCAACACCTACGTCCAAGAAGCCACGACCTTCGGTCGTACACGGTCGTACCAAAACAGGAAACACCGAACCAACCGAGTCTGCTGCCATGACCGCTCGTGGCGGCCGGAGCTCGGCTCGGCTCAGCTGGACTGTTTCGGTCGATACGCGGCTCGGTGGCCCGTTTGGCAGCTACGTTCGGAACACGTGCATCGCTGCGTTCGGAACAAGGGCATTGCTACTACTTCGGAGCAGGAAGCTACTAAGGGATTGGAGAACTCCCCTGGCTCCCTGTCTAACAGGGAACATGGATATCAGTGAGCTTTCCCCCACAAGACGAAAGGCAGCAAAAATTGGGCAAGACTAACAGTCAAGGTTTCTTCCTCTCCACATCCAGGGGGGTGGTTTTCTTGACACCCACCAAAAGGTCTCCTGGTCAATGAATCAAAAAGCCGTTGGGACTTGCGCGAAATTTAGAGGATTTCCTACCAAATCAGAAAATCCAGTTGGTCCTAATATCAGTACCAACCATGGTGTGATCATATTTACTGAAGAAGCTGGTTCTTTTCCTTCACACTGATGTTGAAACTGTCCCACATGCTCCCGCTTGAATCTAATCAGCTCGCAACCATGCTTGCAATCCGAAGCTCAGCTCCCGAAGCCTGCCAGTCCCTTTTGAGCCAAGCGTCACAGGCTGTGGAGGTTGACTCGCAACAAGCAAAGGCATGCAACGCTCTCAAGCACACCTCGCTGGTGCTGCGTTGCAGACGTCACACCGAAAGGCAAGAAAGCACCAGCGACACCAACATGTGCCATGAGGCTGCCAGAAAAGTTTCAACATGTCATTCTAGTGAATTAAAGGGCATGGGAGAGTCATTGACTTTCTGGTCACTGTAACTTTCAACTCAAAATAGACCATGCTTTGGCCACCAGGGACTCCATCCCCCATCCCCTTTGGCTTACCGTCTTCAACGACGAAGTCGACGTGCTTCTTCGCCCGCGGTCGCTGGCCATGAACCCGGCGAAGAGGGAGTCGCAGTGAGGGATGGTGGGATGGTGGGTGTGGGGGTTAGTTCCACAGTAGAAGCAATTTGGAAGACCATGTTCCGAAGAGTTTAACAGGTGAACTCCACTTCCATGCTAGTTTCAGGGGTGCCTGTACAAAACCCATGCCTTTCCATTCATCCAAAGAGCTGCAACATGTCTCACTCTCGCCGTCCTGCCTCTTGCGCATCTGTTTCGAAGCCCTCCAAGATTCGCCTCAAAACGCGCTGGTTTTTGTAGCAAACTCGTCTTCGGTCACTTCCGTCTCGCTGTCACCAGTCTATGGCTGAAAGGGCAAGGAAAAAAGAAAAAGAAAACATCCAGCGCCAAACTCACACCATGAACGACTGGCAAGTCATGCCCTTCACGAAGTCCCGCCTGGCTGCTGCTAGCACTTGATGCCCATCGATCGAGGACTTTGGCTGGCAGCGTGCCAGTCTCTCAAAGGCCTCCCACATGGGTAGTGAAGCAAACCCATCACAAATCCCCCCAAAAAAGGATGCCATGACCATGACCCCCTGACCTCAAGTCAAACTGTACACCGCGCAGTGCTCACTAAGACTCTTCCTAAAACAAAGGTCTTAACCTCTTCAGCATCTGTTCCAGGGACCAGGGTCATAGGGGAAGGGCTCGAATGTCGATTGTTCAAAGTTGTTTGGTTTCGCCCAAATCCCTGCTCGTTCATTTTGGGAAGTCGAGGAAAACCTTTCATTCAAGCGACCTGTTCACAGACCTCGAAAACTGCCTCTGTTGGGAGGATTCTCCAAGAACTGTGCAGTCTGGCCACTTCCCAGCTACACACCGGAAGTCTGCAACTGTCAGTCTTCAGAAATGACATCGCCCACCTCCCACAGGGTTTGGCACGCGAGGTTGGCGAGTTCACTCGCCAACAGCTGCGGGAACCTGGACGAAACGAGACGAGACGACATTCTTTTGGAGACGAGCGCGATGTCCAAGGGTTGGGCGGAAGGGGCCTTGAATGAGGAGTTGAAGGGCTATGAGTCTTGTACCTAGGACCTACCTACCCACCTACCTAATTCACTCACCTGGTTACCTACCTATCTATCGGCTTCCATGCCTCTACTTACCTACCTACTTACTTGCCTATCTGCTTGCCTGTTTGCCTATAGCCTGAAATGATGCCTGTCTGTAAACCGTCAGGCCCCTTGTCATCTGTTTTAGGTAAAGTATGTGCTCATCGTCCAAAGACCAGCAGAATGTTGGGGGCAGAACGAATCCATGTCTGGGACCTCAGCCAGGTAGAGAACATCAAATAAAGAAAAGACCTGAGAAAGCTGCCAGTTGCAGACATTGTGGAAAATGTTTGGTAGTTTTCATCCCTCAACCCCTGTAAACATGGAGTCAACGCGGAGTCAACCCCTGTCTATGCATTTCGACTGCTAGCACCGGTGGTTCTTTCGCAATTCCCTCTTTCCTCCACCCACAAACGATGCCCTGACGTTTTCACCAAGCCCAGTGGCTGCGTCCACAGGTTTTCCAACGCCTTGTTGGCTGCCTGGGTGGTCTGCAAGTGGCCCAAGCACCTCGAAGACGAAGAGGCGACGCCACCCAGTGGAGGCCACAAGGAGGTCTAGGAGGTAGATCAAAACTCGTGAAGTGGCAGGACTCGCTGGTACTGAAAATGCAAACCGTCGGTTTGCATCCTCTTCTGTCTTTCAGCCCAATGTATAACCCCCTCCAATCGAAAATATTTCGCACAGAAACCTATAACCGTTGCCGCAGTTGCAGTTTATGTGTTGGCTTCCCGCTTTTGAGGGGTTGCGATTCGGAGGAATGGATTGCTTGAAATTCTAGGCAGATCTTCTCGCCTCCACAGGATGAGGATTGAGATGCTGCGCTCATGACCTGCTATTGGTCATGTTCAAGCTGACCTCTCATGTGGTAGGCTAAAACCATTGTTCAAAAGAAACATTGGGATTGTTTGTGTTCCGGTCCCTTTTGTTATGACCTAAAAAAAGGAAACGTGTTGCAAGTTTTAACCTTTAGGGTTTCTATGTGATTGATATTGATCTGTGGGCGGTGAAAAAAACGAACACATCCTCCAAAAAGAACCTTCAACTTGATCCTCACGTAATACTAGCGCGCTCTTTCTTCCAAGGCAGTTTTTCAACTTCCATGTCAACTTAGAATATTCAGTCCACCTGCAAGGGCACTGACCCAAGCCTGCCTTCCGACGTGACCAACAGCTTCGTCAAAAGCGGCTCCTGCAAGGGAGAGTCCAGCGTCTCTTTGATTTCGGCCAACAACTACCTCCCTTTCCAGTCTAGAAGCTGCTATCTTGTCACAAAGCCTTCCCTAGTGTCAACACAGGATTAATAAACTCACCCAACTAGTTGGGCCTCCAATACTGAACGCCTTTCAAAAAACCTTCTGGCCCAAAAGTTGAAGCATAGGGTTTAAAAAGTACGCCCCACGGTTGAAAAAGCTGGTAAGGACAAAAAGGAATAGTGGGCGTAATAAATGGCATCAGTTCCTTCACAGTCCATTGTCTGAATCAAAACTCGTTCAAGCGTTTAACCTTGCAAGCAGGTCTGCTAATTTTGCAGCTGCACTGCAATCGTGTGGTCTTTCCATACGTCCTGGCGCGAATTCAACAAGATTTGCCTGTGGTCAGTGGTCTCATATGGGATATTAGAGCCCTCCTTTGAAAGGGTGCCCCAACAAATTTTCATAACCACCCAACTACGACATCCCTTCTTCGTGTTTTGATTTATTCCTATGTGTATGTGCAAGCCACACTCACAAAATTCCTTCTCTGGGTCACTTTGCATTCCAGTGAAGGAACGGTAGAAGCGACGTTTGGGAATAAATCCTCTCCAAATGGAGTCCTGTGACAGGTTTTGATAGTTGCGGTGAACCTCAGGTTGGTGCCGGAGCCTTAGAACTCTTCACAACTGCCTGAGCCATAGCCGTTTTGTTTGACTGCTTCACACTCCTCCTGGTCTTGGTCGTCACGGGATGTTTGACAGCTTGCTTGACTAGCTGCCCCAGGATCCCCTTTGGTGCTGAGGTCCAACGCCGCCCTGCGAAGCTTCCGAACCAACGACGCGGTCGCCAACACAGCGTTCTCAGCGATCCCACGCAAAGTGCTATCTTCCCACTCGCGTCGTAGATCGCCCGAGATTGCCACCTATAAGGACCAAGAGTTGCCCTCAGTCCTAATCCCAGAGCGGCAATTATTGCACAACCTACCACTCATAGGGCTGGGAACTGGGGAGCCCAAACAGCAGCTGGATTTGGCATTTGAACAAAATGTCTAGACAAAGACAAAATTGACCAATCCCGGTACCGCAGGCTTTGGTGACCTTGCTGACCTTCCATGTGGGGTCTTTATAACTCCAATCCCAACTCCAATAGCCCTAAACTCCAATCACTCGTGGAATTCTGCGTGTCTTCCAATGGCTCTTCTTTCATATCTTCCGCCTCATCCTTTTCCGGATTCTCCTTCTCCACCACCTCTAAAGCATCTCAATGCTTCCTGGACCCATCTCTTCACAAGAAACTCATTGTTCTTGATCTGGCCACAGAGCACCCCAAATCACCCAGAATCCAAAAAAAATCCAGAAAGTCCTGTATGAAGTTTACTTGAAAAAACTGCCCCAAAAAAGTTTGTATCAAGCTCCCAAACAAAGTAATTGACACAAAATCGCACATTGTCTATGAATTGACTAATCAACAAATTAATCAGTTCACTGCTCAAAAAAAAAGCCTTTAGTGTTGGTCATCCTTCCTCATGAACAGATTTAGTCTTGGGGATCCCTCCTCATGCAGAGATTTAGTCTTGGTGATCCCTCTTCATGAAAAGATTTTGTCGTTGGGCCTCTCCTCATGAAGAGATTTTGTCTTTGGGGCCTCTCCTCATGACCAGATTTAGTCTAAGGGGTCCCTCCCCCTGGGAAAATTTTGTCTTTGGGGCCTCTCCTCGTGAAGAGTTTTGTTTTGGTGACCTCTCCTGATTGACCCCCTTAAAGTCGAATTGCACTTTTCTGATCCCACCCAAATAGCAAACCTTCTGGGAGAGTTATTAATCCGGTGTCGACATTATCTATTCAGATCATTTGTTCACCATCCCCAAGCCGCTGCTCTATCAGAAACTCACTGAAACGCCCTCCATGTCCATTTGTCGGCGCCTCTTTTCCAAAGCTCCGGTCGTGGCGAGTTGTGGCAGAGACGGATCAGGGCGGAAGATCATCGAGGTGCCAGTTGGCAGACACGGGGGCTAGCCACTTTTCAGCACTTTTCCACTTCTTCCTTCTACCTCGCACCTCCCCAAGTTCCATCCTAGTCAACATCCAAGTCACTAGTCCGACATCCCCTCCCTCCAAGTCCATCACTCAAGGCACCTCTGAGAATGAAACAATCCCAGCAGCCCTACATCAGTCATCCCAGCTGCCCTCAATGATGGCCAGTCCACTGGCTGCCAGCTCGCGGCGGAAGGTCCGATACCTTGGAAGCATGTCAGAGAGAGAGAGAGAGATCAAAGAAGGGTCGATTTTTGGAGTATCCCGTATCCCTTGAAAAGAGAGACAAAAAACTATGACGATGTTTTTGCAAGTGTTGAGGGGATATCCCTCAAGCACAGTTTTTTGAGAAGAAGGCCAGGGAGGTGGGAAGGTTCAGACAGATGAGTGTGGATCAGGTTTTCATCATGTCACATTCGGCACCTCAGGCACCTCTCAATGGAAAGATGCAGAAAGCTAGACATGCGCCAGAAGGATGGTTCCACGTTTGGCCCAGCTCGCGGATTTGTCCTCCCAAGCGGTTTGTGTGCTAGCATGTATGCTAGAATATGTGCTACCCTTGTGCCCTGGCCAAGCATTGGCCAATGTCCATGGATTGTTGAGTATTGGTCTTTGGGACATGGTGGAAAATTGAAAGGGGGTTTGGCTGGTCAGCTGAAATTTGGATTTGGGTGGGGTAACCCCAGCAGCCTAGGACGAATTACTACATTTGAGGTATGAGCTACGGTTGGGGACACAATCTACAAATTCCTGCGGCCATGTCCAGCGTTAGGTCCGCACTCGCTATGAGTAGAAACATTTTCTTGGTCAATTTCCTCGCAGACTGTTAGAGTGACCCTGCATACAGAGAATTCAATCCCCTCAGAAATCCTTATATAACATGTGTTTTTTGAGAAACGGTGTCTTTCTAAAAAGGGGAACCACTTGTAGTTCAAGCGATCTTCACCGAATTCCTCAAGCAGTCACACGTCACAACTGCACCCCGAAGCCGAGCCACCCCTCTGACGTCGCTCCCTTGGGCAGGACCACCTCTTCACCTGCGCAAGTCGAACGACGTTCAAAAAACATTGGGAACTGGGTCGGCGGTCGAGGGGGCCGTTGTTTTTGGAGGTCCCGGACCAGGTTTTGCGCCTGCTCTGGATTGCGGGAGAAGATCAATCGGTCAGCAGAAAGTCCACTGGTCCATAATTGTCTGAACTGACCTGTCATTCTGTTTCCATGCCCAGATTGGCTCTACATATAAATAGCCTAGCCGAAACACTAGCAACAATATGTGAGAAGAGTAATGCACGGTCCTCCTCAAAAGATCGAAACAAATTCAAAGTCCGATCTCTGCAGGAATAAACATAATGTTGCTCAATTGAATATATCTCCCAGATCTTGACATTGAAACATGTTGTAAGGCAGCATGTTTCTTGATCCAAGGTTAGAATGCTTTAGAAACCGCTCAAAAACCCGAAAGCTTCGCTTGGCGACTTTGCGCCCAAATCCCGAGAACCAACCACCTAGGTCAGGCCTTGCTTGAGCTTCTCGTAGGTCTCGTTGCGTCCAAACACATCATCTGACTTCAAGGTTAAAAGTTCCTGCGGCGGTTTCTGATGAAAGTTGTGCAGACCTTGTGATGTTTCTGGGTCCTGCTACATGAGTTTGGCTGTGACACACATGTGGCTGATGGCTTGATGTCACAACATACTAGAAGACTTCAGGCAACGAAGAGACGTATCAGCGCGGAATCACCGTCCCCACGCGTCCAATACAGACTGACTCTGCGAGGTTGAGGGCCATCCCTCCGAGACCGCTTCACCGGATGAGGGAGAGATTCCAACCATTCGTCTTCCATTCTGTGTACTCCTCCCAGGGGCTCCAACTGGGAGGTCTCCCTCTTTCACATGCTCGAAGTCTCCAACTCTCCACGTGTCTCCGGGGACGGTCCACGGCGTGGGACGTCGCACGCAGACGGTCCATGCGACGGTGCTACGAGGCCTGGTGTCAACGGTAATAGAAGGCCAGATGAGTTGTTGTCCCTCGGGTTTTCTATTCCAGGAAACCCAGAACCTAGTTCTCTTTCTCTGGATGTACATCACCTCCAGCTTTGCCAGAGCTTGATGTCAAAACCAAGACCCAGCTGCTTTGGAATTTTGCCCAGTACCCTCCCGAAAAGAGAGGAACCATCTTCAGCCACACTGGCCACGGAAAAAAAGAAAAAAAAGAACAAATGGACCTGTGCCCTCCCAAAACCGACCTGCGCCGCGACGCGGAACTCGAACTTGTCTCAGAAACTCGTCCAAACCGACCCGCCTGAAGCAATTGAGAGGCTCCATGGCCTATGATGCCAGAGACCTCCATCTCGCCTAAGCGCAGGCCGCCGCCATGCTTGCCTCGATCGGGGGTGACCCGGTGTCGGTGCGACTCCGTCCGAGTCGGTCCAGGACACCGCTGGTGGGTGGGGATCGGTCCTAACCTCGAAGCCATCGCCGCGCGCGACGCACGGAGGCGCGGAGGGGTGGGAACTGTGAGGCGCGGAGTCAGACCGAACCAAGGAAGACATGGCGTAGGAAGACAGGGCGTCTGTGGGACCAACATCTGCTCCCATGTCCTTGACTCAACAAGTTCCTTGACCAACTCTTCCAAGCGGCGTCCTTTGATTGGCTGCATCGTAAGCATCTCAGTCAACCGATGAGACTGGAGGCACATCAAAAGAAACCAATTATTGATATAGACCCCCCAAATAGAAAAGTAGATCCCCACTAAAAATGTTTTGGAAACGGTTTCGTCTATCTACTTGGGGGCCACTATATAAGGAAAAACAAAGATAGAGCCGAGCTACCAATCTATAGATGCTTGAAGAGTTTTTAAGGCTGGATTTGTGATGCAGCTTCCGGTCAAACAGAAACCACAGCTCCGGAATATTCCAAGCTCTAGCGACTCTAGCTGTCTGACTAAAAGGCTGATGTGTATTCCGT